CCCCGCTTCCCCTGCCCCCGATTAGCCGCTGCTCCCCCTGCGAGGCGGCCCGACCTCCTTCCCCGCCCCAGCCACCTTTCTTAATGGCGTGCACTTGGCTCATCTGGCTGCAGCTGTGCGTGGAGATGGTGAGGGCCGGCACGGGGATCTTCGGGGAGCCCAGCAGGGCCGGGGTGCCCACGGGGGAGTAGCTGAAGAGCGCCGCCCCGAAGCTCTGCCTCCGCCCCTCGCGCCGGTTGCTGTCGATGGCGGCCTGGAGCTCGCCCGGGGAGCTGAGGGCTTGTTTCTCACACTCGTAGGGGTACAGGTATTTCATGTACCTGGGAGGGAGCCCGGGGGTGGGGAGAGGGGACACAGAGCAGGGTGAGTCCCTGGCTGTGACTGGTGGCACGTTCCACCCTGCTGGGACCCCGGACCGGCTACTTGTCCCACGTGGGCATTTCTAAGGGTTCGGAGCAGGGCTCCTGGCTATGGGCAATAGCTCAGCTACGCAAGGCCTGGCTGGCATGACCATTACTGATGGGGCTGCATTAGTGCCTAGGCAGTCCATCCCCCTGGTGCAAACACACGAGGGGCAGAGTTAAGGTTAGGTGGGCAACCTTCACTATGGACCTTCCTGCCTGTTGAATGATTCCCTTGGCAGCCTTGACATTCTCTGAGCCAGCCCTGGTCCTCCGAGTCCAAAACGGAGAGATTCTACTGCCTGAGCTAAGGGGCGGTGCCTGTGTGGGCAGGGGAGGGGCCTTGGCGCCCTGTGGGACGGCCACCAGGGGGCGATATGGCACACGCATGACGTTATCGGTCATAACAACCATTGCTGCTGCACCTGGCCAAACATCCTTAGCGGGGAAACATCCAGCAAAGCGCCTGAGCCCCGGGGCTGGCGCTGGGAGGTCTCCAGGTGCCACCAGAGAAGCGTGGCACCTCCTCTCCAAAGTCTACGCCTCCCAGTCTGACTCCTCCCCCCCCAGACCTCCTCTCTCTGGCCCCCGCCGCCCAGCTCCCCCGGCCCCCGGGGGGCAGCCGCTCCCCGCGTGCG